AGGAGGCCTATCAAAACGGCGAACGATACATTGGAAGGCGGTTAGGTAGTCACCCAGCGTCTCTCCCTCTGCCTGCGTCCTTAATCGTAACTCCTGATATAAATCCTCCCGCTTATAATGCCTTCCGAATTCCTCCTTTAAATCGGTAAGAAACTCCCCGAGGGTTCGCCAAGTATTTTCATTGTTACGGTACCAGAGCGCCGCCTTCCCCGTTAATATTATGCCTACCGCACGGAGTACTTCCTCATTTCTCAACCTGTAAAAATCCTGGCATTTCCTAATATCACTTACGAAACCGTCCACATCCGCTCCCCCGTCACCCGAAAACTTCAGCGACCAAGAACGAAAGGCCTTCACCGCGTCCACCGGTTTATAACGTCGGGGCTGACGCAGACCTGAGCGCCTGCAAGTACTCCGGCGCTTCGGTCTGCGACTGACCAACCCCGCCCCATCCGGCCCGTCCTCATCCGAACTCGGGGACTCGCTCCAACTATCTTCCCATTCGCTTGCCGATGGGCACCTCGGCCTATACCTCTCCCTAAATTCCCCCGGATCGGCAAACCGTGGCCTGGCCCGCGGCGACGTTCCCTCGGTTTTCACAGCGTAATTTTCTCGCGCGCCGTCCTTCAACAGTTTCCTAACTAAATCCTCCCAATTCCTCATGGCCTCTCCAACCTCGCGTGGCAGTGCCGGGGTACTCGTTCTCCGGTCGAACGACCCCAATACTCTCTCCTCGGTGGCGTCGCTTTCCACTTCGGAGAAAAATTCGTCTTCCGAAACCGGCTCCCGCGAGCTACTTTCCCTCCGCCGGCGCGACGCCGAGCGAGATCGTCGCTCCTCTCGCGCCCGTCTATGTGGTGTCCGAGTCGTCGTTATGTCCTCGGCGCGTGGCGCATCCCGCCTACCCGCCTGCATCTCCAACGCGGCCTCTTCTACGCGATATAAGTTATTCGCGCTTTCCGATAATGCCGCACGTACTTCCCTCCGCATAACTAAGCCAGGCAGGCTTGCGACGATGTTTCACGCCTGTCCGAAAACGTTCGGCCCTCCCGCGGCACCCTGGAACGCCACCTCTCCGTGAGACGCCAACTCTCTCCTCGCATCGGCGAGCGCCGTCGCCCCCTCATGTGACGCAACCCGGACGTTATCCTGCCCGTCTTCGCTCCTATGCTCTGGCCCGCTTCTCTGCGCTGCTACCGGCGGCGGCCGCTCGTCTGAGGATGCCAAGCTTTCTCGCCTGCGAATTAACGCAGGCTCGATCTGGCCCTCCAGACGTCCGCGGCTCACCTCGCCTCTATCAGGCTGCAGGTCCATGTTGACCTCACGCGACTCCTCCCGCAGAATAGCCTCCGGCGGGCCCGGCATAACGCCCGACTCAAAGTCACTCGGACTCAGGGGCGGATTAAGCTCCGGCCTTTCACGCGAGATCATGTAGCGCAGCATGCGCTCCTGAAGCACCCCGAAGCTACCCGTCACGCTAAGGCCATAGCTCTTAAGGAGACTCAGCAACTCCGCGGGCGGCGTTTCGTTGATTCGCCGCTTAAGAGCCCGCACCGACCTATCCTTTAATATTTCGCGCATAATCGCGCCTGTCGTCCCGCTTGGCGGCATCCTTACAAACCCCCCTGCTTCTCACACCGCCCGAACGCTCGGTCCAATATCACGCTCGCGATGTGGGCACAACCGACGACCGCGTCGCGCAACTGTCCAAATAATAAAATGAAATTAAAAAAAAACACTAGCGACCAACACTAACTTGCCCTAAATTATCGTCCGGCCAATTTTCATCAACGGCGGATGCGACTTCTACGCATTCGCTTTCTTTCGTTCGGCCGTTACTCAATCAACAATATAAAATAAACTTTCAGGCAGTGCGAATTATACGCACTGCTCTGCGTCCTTAACTTCAAAATAAAACTCAAAATAAAAACACAAATACTAACTACTCTCACTCTCGTCGCGGCTCCCAGGCAAGGGCGCACCTTTCTAATCCGCTGATCAAAACAGATTAGTACCCAATGGCCATATCGCATAAGTATCTAACTACGCTAACAACACCCGCTTCTTAAATGGACTTGTCTATCCGTCCTTTTACTGGCCGTATACCGTGGGTATGATGAATAGTGGCCTTCGACACGTTAGGTCGATGACTCACTCGTCCGTGCCTGAGTATAGCGACGGCAACACAACTATGCTACAATTTCGGCCTCGTATCTCTCTCTCGATCGGCGCTCTCTGTGAACCCGAGATGAGGAATGTAAACAAACACCGCTCGAGCCGCGGCTCAACGCAGCTCGGCCGATCGTTCGATCACCTCCCCTCTCGGCGTCAACCGACCTTTTCAAATTCTTTTGTCTACGCGAATTACTTTTCTATTTAGAATTTCGCGTCCTGTCTCTCTTTCTCGCGATCATCTCAATCCCGATTTCCGCGATTTCCCCACAAGGGATGCCATGTAACACGTACGTTAATGATTTAAGCCCGAGCAACGTTGCGTCACAAATTATTTAAGGGGGAAAGGCTCGGAAGGCAAATTCGCTTCGTCGCGAAAATTTAACGAGGGCTATGTCGTCCGGCAATATTGATAATCGCAATTTAATCAATTACAGAGAGACAGGTTTAACAGAATGAACTCATCAATTCTAATATTTTTCTCTTTATTACAACAATTTTATACATTCGGCCTTGACGTGTGCGTCGGCCGAGCCCGGGCTAAGTTCGCTCCGTGCGAGTGAACGCACAGGAAACAGAACGTCACCTTACAATTCGTCCCGCGAATTCCGCGAGGGCGATGCGAATTTACGCATCTAACCACTCGTCCGCGTCCGGCCTATGTGATGCTCGGAGAGAGAGAGAAATCGAGGCGCGCACCGATAAACTAAAAAGGGTACCTGACCTTGAGAGGGAGCGCTGTTGTGGAAGTCCACGTCCTCTGAGCGAGCGATGTAGTCCTCGCAAGGCAGGATTCTCGATGTAGCCGATCTTCCCTCTTGCTGATGGTCTCCAAACAGTTTTTAACCGCACAAACACCCGTTATTGTCGCGAAGTTCGACTAGCTGGCAATTAATTGCCGGTCAGAACTATACTGCCCGCGATCTCGCGGCTTCCGCGCTTTCTTACGCGCCCCTCCCTATAGGTACTCAACGGCCGAGCGCCGCCGGCTACGCACACATGTGCGGCTCATGCCGGCGACACTATTTCTCTCTCTCCTCCTCTGCTCTCCGCCTATGCCTATCCCTCCAGCGCCAGGCATCTCCGCCGATCAGGAATCAGACCTGTAACAAAGCCACATCGTGTGTCGATACTCGGTTTTACTCAACCAAGACCGATGTGGCAGCGGCTCAGGGGAAGGCACGCGGAAGAGAGAGAGAGGCGAACAGGGCGATCGAATCTAATGATCGATTCGCCCGTCACAACTTCCATAATTGTTAGTAGATGCAGATGGATTCTCATCAGTTTCCATGCCGGTCATGTGTGATTGTTGTGGGATAAATTTGGGAAGATCATCGACAGATAATATGGGCACCGGAGCAGAGCGAATTGTTTTACGAAGACAGACCCTTAGATTTTTGACAATTGGACGAGCAAAGTTGTATTTCACACTGAAGTTTCGAGCTGCCGTGAAAAGATCAAACACGGGCTTAGGCCATAGCGGACGAATGTAGACTGCTGTTTTGCTACCACATTTAAATATGTCTTTGTCGAATTGATCGGTAGTAAGAAGTTGTGATGAGTTGGTTGAAGTACAAGGAAGCTTCGTCAAACGAAAATTTGGAGATTGAGGGGAAGAAGCTTGCCTCTTCTTACTGAAAGATGAGTTACTGTGAGAGCTTGAAGTTGAAGAGGCGGATTGAGGCAGAGAAGTAGCAACACTTGAACGGCAACAGCCAAGGATAGTGGAACCAGCTGGCGCGACTGGACTCACACAGTACGAGTGGTATAGTTTATTACAGTTAGAACAAGTAATGGTACGATTAGTTTTGCGATTTATGACAGAATCACAAAAGCCACAGGTTAAGACCATTAAAGGCGCCGATTAAATAGTGTTTGCCTGATCGAAGTAATGACGATACTCTTAGTTACTAGTTAAACAGCAGTAAAGTGTATAATATATGTGTGTAGTAATACTCTTTTATAATGTGGAGAGTTTAAATTCGAATTGCGCGCACAAACTCACTGGTATCGGTACGGTAAGATGTGTCACGCCGGAGGGTCGACAGTTGTCCCGGACTCATGTGTGGTAGGCGTGGCTTGTGAGGAAGGCGAGTGGGGATGATAGACGATGGCCCCGGACTCGCCGATGTAGGTCTGATGTGTGTGTAGCCTGACGAATTCAAACTAGGCGCATGCGTAGTTTGAAAGAAACTCTCAGTGTTGGCAGAAATTTGCGGAAACTCGGTGTGGTAGAAGCTTGTTGCGAATTCACCGGCGATGAGAGAACTAACCTCAAAGAATCCGCAAGAAGAACTATTGATGAAAAACAATTGCAAAACACAGCTACAGGCGATGAATACGCTTGTATCAGTAAATTGCAATAAGGAGCTTGCAATGATGAACCTAAAACAGCCGCCCGAAGGCGAATATTTTAAGTATACTTGGTCAAAGTGGAGAGTGTAAAATTTTGCGACTGGCCGGTACTCACGAGAGAGAGAGAGAGAGAGAGGGAGAGAGAGAGAGAGAGAGAGAGAGAGAGAGAGAGAGAGAGAGAGAGAGAGAGAGAGGTGCTAATTAGGTAACGGTGAAAAACTCTGACAAACAAAATTAAAGGACTATACATTCATGTCTATTTGGTCTAATAGTATCATACGTACTACTGGAGTATAAACGAGTAGAACAATATTATTGATTAACGTTTAGTTTTAATATAAATCAGACAAGCGAATAGGAATTTACTTCCTCTGATGTATTGCGTTACACATTTAACATATGTTTATTTATTACGATAACATAAATTATATATGTACTTTAGTAAATAAATAAAAAATATAAATGAATCATACCTGTTAAACATAATCTTGGAATAGGTAATTGTTCAGTATTTATGGGCATAGAAGTTCGTAAAGTGAACATTCCTCTACCAATTGGCAGAGCCATAGTCCTTGTACATAATGCATGTAAAAATTTTTCTTGCTCTTCGATGAATTCGTGATCGCTAACATCAGGTCTTTGAACAATTGAAATAATCATTGGTTCAGAAGAATCCAGTAATTTACGTATTTCTCGAACTCTATGATCTGTATTAAATCTTAATCGTAGAATCTAAAAAAGATATTTACCATTAATAATAAATTTTTAACCTGTGAAAAAAATAGTAAAATATAAAAACAGTTATACTTTAGAATAAGTGATTAATACACAATTAATAGTTAATATTGCAGATTAACGATCAGTAAGTTACGAGGTCTGTCCGGAAAGTATCGGGCCTACCTTTATATTTTCGTGCTAGCGTTATTCTTTATCATGTGGTGGGTGGCATCCTTCAAAGTAATCCACACTTGATTGAATAACACGGTTCCATCGTTGTTTCCACTTTTCAAAGCAGTCCTGGAACTCACTTTTAGGGATAGCCTTAAGTACACTCGTCGCATTGTTTTCAACCATTGTTTTGTCATCGAATCGGTGTCCTTTGAGTGATTTTTTTAGTTTTGGAAACAGCCAAAAGTCACAAGGGGCTATGTCGGGACTGTATGGAGGTTGTCGAAGCAATGCGATATTGTGTTTGTTCAACTGCTGCTCAAGATTGGATGAATGCGCTGGCGCATTATCGTGATGGAAAAGCCAGTCACCACTTTCCCAAAAGTGCGGCTGTTTTCTTCTTATTGCATCACGCAAACGTTTCAAAATTTGAACGTAGTATTCTTTATTGATTGTCTGACCTGTTCGTGCATATTCGTGATGTACAACACCTTCACAATCGAAAAAAACAATCAACATTGACTTAACATTGCTCCGACTTTGACGTGCTTATTTTGGTCTTGGCGATTCAGAATGCTTCCACTGTGAAGATTGTTCTTTTGTTTCAAGATCATAACCATAAACCCATGATTCATCACCTGTAATAACTTTTCTAAGCACATTATCATCATTATTGACCATTTCCAGATTGTCCAGAGCGATTTCTAAGCGAATGTTCTTCTGTTCTGCTGTGAGCAATTTTGGGATGAATTTCGCACAAACACGTTCCATTCCTAAATTTTCGATTGAAATTTCTGAAATGATAGTTTTTGGTATCCCAAGGTCTTCTTCTAGTTCTCGCACAGTCATACGACGATATTGTTCGATTGCAAGTCGCACCCGCTCAATATTATCTGCGGTTTTTGTCGTCGAAGGTCGGCCGGAATGAGAATCACTATCGACAGAAGTGCGACCATCTATGGACCGTTTATACCACTCTTTTATTCGTGTTTTGCTCATACACTCGCTTCCGAAGGCCTTTTGCATCATTTCAATAGTTTCCGAACTCGTTTTTCCGAGTTGAAAGCAAAATTTGATGCAAATTCGTTGATCTTGTTTTTCAGTCATTTTTGACAATATCAAAATCCGACGAACGCGAAAAAGGCACTGTAAACAAAGACACGCTGCGCATGAACTATACGTCCGGCAGGTTTCAGTAAGTAACCAATAGATTCGTGAGGCTTTAGTGTTGACGTTTCTGTCCGGTAGAGGTCGCTCGAACACTATGGCACGAAGATACAAACGTAGGCCCGATACTTTCCGGACAGACCTCGTATTAATTAAAATGGTTTTTTTTCTACCAATGCTTCTCACCAGTACTTGAAAAAAAACCTCAAGAAATACACAATTACAAAATTTTTTTCAAGAAATTCATACTCTTTATAACAAAGAAATATTGTGAGAATATTTATTCTGTAAAAATTACCTCACATAGTCATAAAATTCATTAATGAAATTAAAATTTTATATATTTATTCAATATTAATCGAAGAGACATGAGTAAACAAGTTATTTATGAAATAAAACAAAAATTCTCATTTGTTTATATAATCAAGATTTCATTTATGATGGGGAAAACCGCTTTGCTAACGATTTCTCTTTCGAACATTATCTTAAAGTATCTATGTGTGTGACTTCATCAAACCGGATGCATGTATGTATCCGTGAGCATAACACTCATACCTGATTCATTTGTTCGAAGTGTTAATTGGCGTACTTGGGAGTGAGAAAGAGTGCATATTTCGGCGGATTGTGAACGCCAAGAGAGAAAGATATATATATATATATATATATATATATATATATATATATATATATATATATATACTCGTATAGAGAGGCAGAGCTAAAGAGCGGAAAGCTTGACTGAACGTACCCAAAAGCCATTCACTCGCAGGCGACAGTGAGGAGTCCACCACGGTGTTTGTGGGAGCATCAGTCAGGGGCTCATACTCTTCCAGCAGGATGTTGGCACAGCAACAGAAAAAGAAAAAAAACGCCTTCAGTGCCGTGGACCGCTGTGTTATTTTTGCATGAAGTTGGCCTGTTCATGGTTTGCCCCGAACTTTTTAACGGATTTGCCGGCGCCTCATCAGCTGCAACCTCCGCCCCGAAGATTTCTAGATAACAGTAACGGCGCGAATAAAAGGAATAGCGGGAGTAGCAACAACAGCAGGGGCAGCGACATCGTTGGCAAATCTCTCTTTCTATCTCTATCTGTCTCTGTCTGTCTCTCTCTCTCTCTACTATAACGATTCGGGGCCCTCCTAGTTAAACAGAGGTTCACTAATGCACGGATGAACATGCGTCGATCCACAGCTATTCAGGTCGTTACCAAGAACTCCGCCTCGCCTGATTACCGTTATAGGCCAAAATTAAGTTTCTTTTTTTCGGATTTTAAGAATTTCTTTTAGTTTTGTTGTAAATGATCCGGAAATAAACTTTGTTTTATTTGTGCGATTGCTGGCGTAATTTCTTTCGTGTTCTTTCCACTTCTTCTAATTCCACGCTCTCTTCGTGCGCGAACCTCGCAATCTGCAGGCCCAAGCAAAAATTTAAATTTGTAAAAACTTACTCTTTTTCTTTTACAGATTGAAAAATACAATTCAATAATTACTGGAATATTGTAACAGAAAAATACAATCGACAACTTGGAGGGTTTTACCGGGGACTGCCTGCACAAATTCTTTAAAAAGGAACGGATTCGAAAGACGTGAACGCTTCGACAGCTAAGTAATAAACTGGATATATATATGTAGGTTAATCGCGTGCCAAACTAATGTTAGCATGTAGATTTATGACACGCGAACTGTGTTGACAGTCAATTAAATTAACTTACTTCCATTACAATATAAGAAAAAAAAGAAAAGTACAAAAATGAAGTTCATCCATGCGCATTCAAAAATCCAATACAGAATTAGATATAATTACGGTAATGATATTAATCCGCCCAAACACATTAATAAGATTACCGATAAACTAATAGGTAATCCTTTTTCCTCTTAGCTTGATGAATACGCGACATATCGTTGTGACCGACCCGGGGGCTAGCAAAATTGCTCAATTACTCGCAGGTGAATGCAACGCTCGAGCATCTAAAGAGAGAGGGGGGGGGGAGTGGGGCAACTCAGCGACTGCCTCCCGGTTTCTGCTCTCCTACTGTTGCTGTTGCTCGAGTCTGGTTACTGGGTGTTACCGGACTCCGCTCGGATAAAATATCGCACGCGTCGACCGTGTGGATCCTTACATGTTCCGGTGCCGGCATCAAAAACTCACAGAACGTGACTCAGCAACCAATCACAACAAAATCCTACTAATACGCCCCTTGCACCGGGCGAATATCTTTAATAACTTGGCAAAGCCGCTCTCGAAAATAATTCTAAACACCTTAGGAAATTGGCGACGTATCCGACCCGACAGTCCAGCACCAAGTCTCACTCATTAACTCTCTTCTCGCCTCTCTCCGAATCCCGCGTTTGCCGTTCTCTTCATCTGCAGTCACCAGTTGGTCTTAGCTACACCAATCATCTCGTTGGTACACTTTATACAGAGAAATTTGGCTTGAGAGTGGCAAACGAGCGATCGTAAGAGTCAACGAACATAATATGTTAGAGTATCTTTGATGGATTATGGATTATACGTTAATAAATTGAAAAGGTAAAAAGAGAGGGTTCACCATTGAAAATGACATAAATGTTATTAGAAAATGTTGAATTATATAATCATACTATTAAAGAATATTATATATAACCTTTTATATTTCCATAACTTTTTTCTTATAGTGGAATTTCCTATCATAAGTAATTATTTCTAACATAAATATATCTAGTCCCTTTAATTGTTGACTTTTAAGAATTTTGATGTTTAAATCTCTATCAAGAAAATAGTTATCATTATATAAATATATGTATATAAATATTATATATTATATTTATGGATATGTATATATATATACATATATTTAAAATAAGAGTCTGAACCTTTATTCACATCTTTGGCCACCGTCACACTACGTAATTAATACTACTGAGGTATACTATATATCATACTTTATATATTATGTCCTATCTACATTTTCTATTACTCCAAGCTTATTTATCTGTCTTACGTATTCTGACCATAAGCAAGTGTGTATGTATAATAAATAGCAGTATAAGCCAGTGAGTATACTATCTTTGTTTTGGAATATAGTTGAAATCATTTTGTTAATTTATTTGCGCATTCATTAGTTTATTTTCTTTAGTCTGGTGTTGGCGATGGATATCTTGAGAAGTTTGTTGACAAGTTTATTTGGGTGGATTTAAAGTCTAAAGTTATATTTTGCGTAGAATTTTTTAATTTCTTCTTTCACTGTAGGAATCTCGAAATCATTTTGAATAATTTCATTCGGTGCGAACGAAGGGACCCGTACTATATTGCGTAGGACTTTCGATTGAAATCTTTCCAAGATGTCGATATTCGAGTTAGAAGTAGCACCCCAAATTTGAATGCCATATCTCCAGCCTGATTTAAGTATAGCTTTATCTAGCAGCAGTTTGTTTTCAATTGACAGCTCCAATTCTGTTCCGATGAGTCAGTACATTTTCTATATTTTAGACCCAACAGTTTACGTTCTTCGATCTAGGTGAATACCTAGATATTTTACTCAATTGTTTTGCGAAATATATTTCTCGTTTAATCTAATAGGAGGACAGGTAACTTTTCGAAGTATGAATGTTGTATGTATCGATTCGCTTTCGTTTACTATTACTCTCCAGGAGTTAAACCAACTTTGAAGGAGATTTTTTAAGTAGTTTTGTAATGTT